TTTGTTTGTTTACAGATTAAAGTATACTTGATGTAAATAAACCACAGATACTTAAACTTTATGGCCTGATGAATTTTGACATACTTTTATGCTCATGAGACCATCACAATGAACACAATAGACATATCCATTACCCACAAAAGTTTCTTCCTACTGCTTTACAATACATCTTTCCCTCTTCATCTCTGTTTCCAGGTAACAATTCACCTGCTATCTGTCACTAAAGATTTGTTTACATTTTTGAGAATTTTATATAATTACACAAAATATAGAGACTCACTCCTTTTTACTCAGCATAATTGACTCATCCATGTTGTTGGATATATCAATAGCCTTTCCTTTTTATTGCCAAGTAGTATTCCTTGTGTGGATATATCACATTTTGTTTATTTGTTCAACTGATGGGCATTTGGGTTATTTCCAATTTTCCAATGGGCATACACTTTTATTTCTCTCGTGTAAACAAATATCTAGACATTGGAGAGCTGGGTTATATGGTAGATATATTCTAACCTTTTAAAAAACTGTAAGCTGTTTTCCCAGGTGGTTACACCATTTTACATTCCAAATAACAGGGTCTGAGAGTTCTGTTCTTCCATATCTGCACCAACATTTGGTACGGTCAGTCTTTTTAAATTTAGTCATTCTAGTGGGTATTGAGTGCTATCTCATTATAATTTCAATTTGCATTTTCTTAATGATTAATGATATTGAGTATCTTTTCATGTGCTTGTCTTTTGTAGTATCTTCTTTGATGAAATGACTATTGAAATGTTTTGCCCATTTTTAATTGCCTTCTTAAATAATAAAAGTTCTTTATATAGTGTAAATACATGTACATTGTCAGATATGTCTTTAAATATTTTCTGCCAGTCTAAGACAACCCAAATTCCCAGAGGGTTGCAGAAAATATACTTCTCATTCATTTTCATTATAGTCTTTTTTAAAAAATATGTTTTTATTGATTACAGAGAGAGGAAGGGAGAGGGAGAAAGAGACAGAAACATCACTGATGAGAATCATCAATCTGCTGCCTCCTGCACTCCCTCTACTGGGGACTGAGCCCACAATCAGGGCCTGTGCCCTAACTGGGATTCAAACCATGACCTCCGGGTTCATAGGTTGATGCTCAACCACTGAGCAACACCAGCCAGGCCATTATGGCATCTTTTGAACAAAAACTTTAAAGAAATATTTGATGAGCCCTGGCTGGGTGACTCAGTTGGTTGGAGCATCATCCTGTATACTAAAAGGTTGTGGGTTCAATCCCTGGTCAGGGCAGGTCCAGGAGGGAACCTATCGATGTTTTCATCACTTCGATGTTTCTCTCTCTCTCCCCCTTCCTCTCTCTAAAAATCAAAAACATATCCTCAGTTGAGGCTAAAAAAAAATTTGATAAAATCCAATTAAAAAAAATTTGTGTCCTATTTAAAATATCTTTGCAAATCTAACATCACTAGTCTTTTCCCCTGTTTTCTCCTAGACACTATGTAGTTTTAATTCTTACGTTTAGGCCCATCATTCATTTTGAGTTAATATTTGTATGTAGTATGAGGTGAAAATTGATATCACTGTTTTTGCATGTGGCTGTCCTCCACTATTTGTTTTTTAATGAATTGCCTTGGCACCTGTCTTAGCTTAGACTGCTATAACAAAATACCATAGACTGGTGGCTTAAACAACAGATGCTTATTTCTCATAGGTCTGTCTGGAAGCTAGGAAGTCCAAAATCAAGGTGTAGCAGATTCAGTTCCTGGTGAGAGCCATGTTCCTGGCTTGCAGACAACCACCTTCTAGCTGTGTCCTCAAATGAGAGAGAGAGAGAAAGAAACCTCTGCGGTCTCTTTCTCTTCTTACAATCCCATCACAGGAGCCCCACCATCATAACCTCATCAAAACTTAATTATCTCCCAAATGCTCCCCCTCCACATGCCATGGGGGAAACACAAACATTTTGTCCATAACAGCACCTCTTTGAAATCAATTGATATATGTGGAGCTACTTCTGGACACTATTCTGTTCCATAGATCTGTATGTCCATCTTTATGCCATATCACACTGTCCTGATTACTGTACTCTATAATAAATTTTAAAATAAGGTAATGTAAGAACATCCAACATTCTTCTTCTTCAAAGTTGCTTTGGCTATTCTTAGTCCTTTGGATTTCCATATGACTTTCAGAATCAGTCTATCAATTTCTCCAAAAACAGCATGCTGGGATTTTGATCGAAATTGATTTCCAACTATAGATAAAATTGAAAGAACTGAATTTTCTGACTTGTGAAAATGGTATATCTCTGTGTTTATTTTAGTCTTTAATTTCTCTCAGCAATGATTTGCAGTTCTCAGTATATAGCTCTTACAAATTTTCTTAGTCTGCTTGGGCTGCCATAACAAAATACAATAGACTTAGTGGCTTAAACAACAGAAGTTTATTTCTCACAGTTCTGGAGGCTGGAAAAGGTATCAGCATGGTCCAATACTAGTGAGAACTCTTCCTGGTGTGTAGAAGGCTGCCTTCTCACTGGGTCCTCACATGACAGAAAGGGGAGAGGGAGCAAGCACTCTGGTGTTTCTCCTTATAAGGGCACTGATCCTATCAATACCTTTATGATCTCATCTAAGCTTAATTACCTCCCAAAGGCCCCATCTCCAAATTTAATCATACTGGGGGTTGGGGCTTCAACATATGAATTTTGGGGGGACATAAACATTCGGATCATAACACAAACCTTTTGTCAAATTTACCCCTAAGAATTTCATAGTTTTGATGCTACTGTAATTGATATTGCTTTTTAAATTTAATTTCTGACTCTTCCAATATATAGAAATACAACTGACTTTTATAGTTAATCTTATAAGCTTTCAAAACTCACTTATTAGTCCTAACAGCTTTAAAAAAAAATAGATTTCTTAGGATTTTCTAAATATAATCATGTTTGTGAATAAAAAGTTTTACTTCCTCCTTTCCAATCTGGATGCCTTTTATTTTATTTTCTTGCATGATTGCAGTAGCTTGGTCCACGAGTTGCAAAGAATGAGAAGAAGTGGTAAGAGTATACATCCTTGCTTTGTTACTGATCTTAGGAGAAAAACATCCAGTCTTTCACCATTAGGAATAAAGTTGGCTGTAGAATTTATGTAGATGCCCTTTTTTAGACTGAGGAACTTCTATTCCTAGTTTGCTGAGAGTGTTTATCATGAATGGCTGTTTTATTATGACAAGTGTTTTATTACACATCTAGAATTTTCCTTCTAAAACATAAATTTAATCACTTGCTTCCTTGCTTAAAGGAACCTACCCATCACCTTTAAAGTAAAGCCCAAGGCGGGGGAGGGAAGAAATAAAGTAAAGCCCAAGTTTCATACCTTGGCATACATCTCTCACCACTTCTCAAAACACACTTTATGCTATAGCACCACTGAACTACTTATAGTTCTATGAACATGCCAATGCTATTTTCTCAGATTCTTTTTATTTGGAATACTCTCCTTCTCACCCCCTAACCCTTAAACCTGTCCCACATACCCAATCATTCAAGTGAACTCTAACTGTCCTTTAAAACTCAACTGAAGATAACTTTCTTTGTGATCACTCCAGTGTTAAATCTATACTCATGCCGCTTTTGTTGACACTGCCGCCCTTCACGTAACATGTGTTTACTTCTTTGTCTCCCTCTTCAAAAGATAATGAGAAACTTAAAAAGTGGACCATGTTCAGCAAAATGCTTAATAAAAAGTAGGCCCTCAATATAAGTGAAATAACATCTGTGAAACTGCCATAACAAAGTACCATAGACTGGGTGGCTTAAACAACAGACACTTATTTCTGTTTAAAAACAGAAGTGTTTCAAAGAGAAAATTTCTTTATAGAAATCAAAGACATTACTATTTTATATCATATTCTTTTGTAAACATGTATTGTTTTCTAACAGTGAGTAATGCAATGCAAATATTTATAAGAAATACATATAACCATGATAGTATAATTATCATCATATCTCTGCTGATGCATTAATACCTAAAGCCCAGTATAAAAATCCAGTCCTATACTGTCCACCAGGGCCCCAGCAAGGATATCTTATGTAATGTTTACAAGAAGTAATTAATTTAATCATCATGAAAACCTTATAGGCAGGACTTATTATTATATCCATTTTAAAAAGGAGAAAACAGAAGCACAAAGAATTAAACCATGGGGCTGGAAGTAGCAAATCTTGTCTTTCAAACTAGGCAGTTCATCTCTAAAACCTCTTCATTTCTAGGAGATATTTAATAAAAAACCTTTACAAAGCACATAGTAAGGGAACTGTTTCCATTTTGCTTTTTCAGCTACACCAACAGAATATAGTTATTTAATTATGCTGCATGCAAAAACCAAACATGGCTTTGAGATTCCCTGTAGTGAAATTATAAATATATTATGAAATATAAGAAACACTGAAGTGTTCCTTATCTACTTAAAATGTTCACTAATAACTAGTAACTCAAAGCCATAGCTTTCTAAACACTGGCTTAAAACTTAACCTTCCTTAAATTCAGCATTTTAGGAAAAAGTATCAAATAGAAGTGAATTTCAAATAATTCTATGTGACACATTGGGTTTTATATGCTCATACTACAGTTGCAATGACATTGTTGAATATTTGTATACTGGGTATATAAAATGTTCCACAAAACTGGAATACTCAAAGAGTTTTCATTTAGGGATAAAAGAATAATTAAGAAAGGGATAAATATAAAAAGTATGGGTTTAAAATTGACTACCCAAATTAAGTATTCTCAATAAATTATTGCTAATTTAATGTAGTTTTGAAGAAAATAAAGACTCATTTAGAAGACAGTATGAAACAGATTACCTGCAAATGAAACAGAATTTTTTTGTTTTTTTCTATTTCTGTTGTTTGTGATTGTTGTTGCTTTGCAACTTGCTCTACAGCATCAGTTAATGAAGATGTGTCTTGCTTAGCCAGAGCTAGACAAAGGAATAATGTACATAATAAAAATTTAAATGCAAATAAGTCATGTTTCTTTACTCAAAGTCATTAAAAATGTGATGTTTTTTCATAAATAAATTTAGGGTTGGTAATTTTCCTTTTCTGACTATAAACAAAACCAAAATCAAAAGCCATAATAATAGACAATTCAAAATAGCCTACTGCAATGTTATACCTATTTCTTTATTGAACAGTATAAATATTTTGATTGTCCCAATTGTTTTTATCCAGACCACTAGCACACATACTATAATTATACTGCCACCATAGCAACAATATAGCAATTATAGTTGATGAATTTTCATTATAGGCCTGCATTTTCAGGTTGTTGTACCTTTTCTAAATACTGAATAAATTTCCTCCTGGAGAAATTTAACAGCTTCCCAGTATTCTAATTTTCTATAAATTTTAACACAATTACCCTATTCCGTACTTCTTTGTTGCTGCTTATGTTTTATTTATTTAATATTGCTTCATTACCGTCTTCAGGAACTCCTTGGCTCTCCCTTTCCTGGTTGCCTGACATTCTTCTGTGCCTGTTTCCCCCTTTTTGGTTCACCTTCTTTATTCCTACAAAATAATCAATGGTGATAATCTTTCACTTTTCTTTGTTGTTTTTTTGTATATCCTGGTGATCCTAAAAGTAAATTAAATGCCAAATACTACATAGGGATGTCAATAACATTTCATCATTAGTTCCAACAATTAAATTATAATTGGTGAGAGATTTTTGGAGGAAAGTAGATCTGTACTTGAATCTTGGTTCTCCTGCTTTTCACCTTTTATGATCTTGAGCAAGTTTTTTCACTTTTTTGGTCATTGGTGTCCTCATCTGTAAAACTGCACAGGGCTGTTGTAATAATTAAAGTAATATCTATATAACATGCTCAGCACAGTAACTGACATACTCAGTGAGTAATTAATTACTATGGATTAGTAGCTGGTACCTCCAGTACTGTGATGAAATGGATTCTACAACTATAGCCAGAGTCAGGGAGAAACAGTGCCAAGTTGGATTAGCAATTTCTGCCATGGGTATAGGATGTAGATAATGTAGCACTCCTGTCCAGTGCTATTCTGGCCAGAGTAAGCCCTGTGCAGCTTTAAAATCATACTTTAATCTCTTCTATATCTAGGAGTAACTGATAAGATGAAGGGGTATTCTTCTTTGAAAGATTGAAAGGGTTCCTACCTCTACCAACACAGCAAGTGAAAGCTGGGTTCGCAGTTAGGAGAGTCCCCTGTTTCTCCTGCAAATCATATTGTCATCTCCACAATCTGCCTAAGACACTGTGGGCCTTTTTCCCATTATGCCTCACATCCCTGTTAACCCCACTCGCAAGAAGCCTAAGGCCCCAGGTCATTCCTAATCATGAAGACTCATCCTTATTAGGCTTAGTAAGTCCCTTAATTTGGTATGTTACCCACTCCCCAACTACTTTGTATCCCTCCACTGTGACCCCTAGAACTCCTAGTCCATCTTGAGCAAAATCGGCTCCATATTCGACCTCTTCAGTACACTTCTCCTTCACCTTTTTTTCTGTTAGAATTCAAATCCTCAGAGATACTGCTTTCTCATCCTCAAGTCACTGAGTCTGGACGTGAGGCATTTTTCCTGATCTCTGTTACTACTGCCAAACTGTTATCCTCTACTCTCCCTAAAATGACTTAGTTTCTTTGGAGTTCATGCCATCAGGCTATTATATAAGCTTTGCCCTTCCTTGCTGCTGTCAGTTGACTTCCAGATCTCTACACCTCACTCCTAGATTACAGCATCGAATTTACTATGCCTCTATTACTACTTCTCTTGTATTTCTTTGGGATTTCAACATCCACACAATACCTTGACCTCTTAGTTCTTGGATTTCTGCTCTCATCCATCCTCCCCAACCACCCACAGGTTATAACTACACCTCATTCACAATCTCAGATTCAAACTCTTATTTTTCATTTCTAGTTCATTCCTCCAGCATTTTGACTACAAGAGCTGTTCAACCACATGGACTCTTCCACATTTTCACACTCCCTCAGCCCCTCATGTATTCACTTCACTTCTTACCTGGCTTAGATTCCTTAGCATTCTCTTATGGCTCTCTCACTGTGCTATTTCCCTGGGAAAATCCCAACCAGTTGCTTTGCTTATGCTCCAGTTGCTGAAGTGCCTACAAACAAACAAACAAACAAACAAACAAAAAACCTATTCTGTAGTCTCATTTTAAATTCAAAACTATGTGTGTCAAGTGGACCACTGACACTAGGTCATTAGGATTCACCACATTTCACAGATATTTATTTCACTCCTTCTCCTCTGTCTTCAAACCTCCCATATCTTCCCTCTTCTTTTAGCTGAAAATCCAGCTACTTATTTAACTGAGAAAGCAGAAAAATCAGAGAGGATGGCAAATCACCCCATTTACCAGTCTTCCTGCACCAGTACCTATATCTAGTCTATCCTTCTCTTGCAATGAATAAAGTGTCCTTGCTCCCATCTAAGGCCAAGCCTCCACTTTTGTACTCCTCTCTCTTCTACTCAAGAGCATTAATATTTCAAATGTTCCATCAATAGGATTTCCTTCTTAACTTAGTCAAAGATATTGTTCTGAAAAGCCTATCATAAAATCAACAACAACCACCCTTCCTTTACCCTACAATCCCCTTCAGCTATTTCTTTGTTCTTCTTTATAGCCAAGATGCTTGCTGTCCACTCCCTTTCCTATCATACTTCTTGAACCAACTTAATCATTCATCACTTTACCTTTAAAGTTCTATCTTGTACACCTGAAACTAATATAAAATTGTATGTCAAATATAATAAAAAATAAATGTAAAAAAGATAGGCAAAGTTGTGCTGCATTAATAACCTCAAAATCTCCCTGGTTTAAAACAATGAAGGTTTATTTCTTATGATGCTATATGTTAATACCAGGTTGGCACGGAGGTTCTTCCCATCTAAGGGAACTCAGGCTGATGGAGGCTCCATATTGATAAGAGTTTCCCCAATCAACATGGCAGAGGAAAAGAAACATGGCAAGTCCTGCTCTCAAAGTCTTCTGTCCAGAAATGGCCCACATAACCCCTACTCACATTCCATTGGCCAAAGCCAGTTTGTGGTCACACCCAAGTTTAGATAATAAGGAAATGATTTCCACTATAAACCCAAAGAGGAGTGGAGTCAGAATACCAACAAACAGCCCTACTAACAACCACAACCCTATTGCTGGTCTTTTTTTATGGAGAGCCATATGCCTATCTCTGCCAGCCAGACTCAGGATGCCAGCATGCTCATACTTGAGGCATTGCAGCCTAAGGCGAGTTCACTTGGAAGAGACTGCAGATGGATATGACAGGACTTCCTTATCCTATGTGTCTTGTTATCAACAGGGCCTTTATAGTATCTTTTCTGGGTTTTCAGGAGTAGAACACAGATCTGTAACAACCCTTGTTTTCAGGAAAATAGCAGTTGAACATAAGCTAAGTGTGTGGGACTTCCCCTTGCTGGTACATAGAGCTCTGCAAAGGGCAGGGATGTTGGTAGGTGGCAGAAAAAGCAAATCTGACTATGTTCTAAATATATACCCTTAACTACTGTGCTGTACCATTAAAAAACAGTCTTTTATTCTTTTAAGCAATGTAACCATTAATACAACAAAAAGTGAAACTCACAGTTTTCATTCTCTCATTAAGAATCATTTGAAGGCCTGCTTGAAAGAGCCTAACCACAGTTCTATAAACTCTCAAGTAGCAATAAAATGAAAGTTTATGGGGAAAAATAAAAAATATCTAAACTCACTTTTATTCTAGGTGGTCAACTACTGTATGGCTCACTATCTACAACCCACTTATCTAGAATCATGTCCCATAATATTTCAAGTAAACAAATATATTCAAAGAATCATGAAGGTGTGGTAATTTAGAAAACCATGCATATATGTCAATCTCATCTGGAAAGTACTTTCTTTACATTTTTAATTTATCTTCCAATTTAAATAAAGTGTTTTATTATTCTCACTCACTCAGGAGATATTGCCTAAAGCCACACAGATGTGAGGAGAGATTAGAATTGATAAGTAAATTAAGTTACTGTGTAGTCTATGTTAGTCAAACTCTCAAGCTGACTCCCCATTCCCATATCCAATAAAAATTCACCCAATGCTCATTAAAGAGTGAACTGCCCCTCTTCACATCTCCCTTTACTGGACTTAGCTTCCTGACTTTTTTAGCTCTTCATTCCTTGTTTCATTTCTTGGCCACTGCTACAAACTCCTCAGGCTGGACATCTGGCTAACTTCTGACTTGCCTTCATGACTACAATTTGCTCCTACCCTGAAGATTATTTGCTTCCAAGTATACCAAGTATATAATATACATGATGAAATTGGGTCTTAAGTGTATAACTGTCACAGATCTGTTGACTGATATTCCTGACAAGTTCCACTTCTCCTTCCTCCTCACCAGCTAGAACCAAACATAAACTCAGAAATTACTTCTTGCCCAAAGTGGAGTTCCACACCAATGGAAAGACATTATCTCTGCTAATGTCATTCAGTCTTATGCTTTCATTTTTAATGGTGACAATGTTTTGTACAATAATTACATTTTCAAAGCTGCCAGCTGAAAATGTAATCCAAACCCCAAATTTATAGAACACCAAAAGAGACAGCCTCATGAGATATTTCTGGATCTCTCCTTACCCCTAGTTTTTTTGTTTGTTTGTTTTTTTAAGTTCTTATCAAAGCATCTATTGCCTCCATGTTGCTACATTCAATGGACAAGTTCAGTCCTCATTTTTCTTGACCTATCTGCATCATTTGACACATCTGATCATGCCCTCCTTCTTGAGGCACCATAATTTTTGGTCTCCTTTGCTGGTTCCTCTTCATCTTTCTCATTTATGGTTGAGTGTCCTAGTGCTCAATCCTCAGGTCTCTTCTTTTCCATATACTCACTCTGTGCATGATGCTATCCTGTGCAACGGCTTTAAAATGCATTTATAGGCTGGCAAATCCCAAATTTATAACTCTAACCTGAGCAACCCTCTTGAGCTCTAGACTGATACTAAATTGCATACCTGATATCTCCACTTGGATTTCTTATAGGCATTTTACCTTAATATGTTCCAAACTGAACTCCTGATTTCTCTGTCAACTGGTATCCATCACAACCACAAAGCCTGCTTCTTCACAGTCTTCTCCATTTCAGTAAATTATAAGTTTACTTTTATTGTTCAGGTCCAAAACACTGGAGGCATTGACAGGGAGGTCTCTAGAAGTGTGTAGAGCCCATAGCAACTGAACCAGACTTGCTTAAGATAATCATAAATAAGAGCTCATTGTTGATGTTTCATAGGTCCTTTGGGAAATCCTCCCCAAGTATGTGGCTCACGACTGCTGCCCCAATTGTCTCACCCAAAGGGTGAGCCAAAATCTTGACTCTTTTCTTTCTCTTACAGGCTACATGTAATTTAAAAAATTTTTTTTTTTGCAAAACTCATTGGTTCCACCTTTAAATTACATGGGAATCCAATCACTCCTTACTACTTGCAAATACTCTCTTGGTGGAGAAGCCTTCCTCAATAACCCCCTCTAAAACATGACCTTTCCTCCTTCCTCCTCCATTTCCTTACCCTGCCTCATTTTCCCTTTAATAGCATTTATCACCACTGACACCTTACACGTTAATTTCTTTTCTACCTTCTTTTACTAATATAAGATCCATGAGGGCAGAGACCCAGAAAAGTACCTGGCACATAACAGATATCTAAGTGTACTCTATCTCCACTCTGATTCAGTTCCACTAATAATGCTCCTAAAATCCTGTTCTGATCATGTCAACATTGCAACCAATCTTTCGGCTCTCTTTTAGATGGCATCTTCTTTAAGAAGTCTTTCTTGATCTTGCTGGGTAGATGAGACCTCTCTCTCTCTCTCTCTCTCTCTCTCTCTCACACACACACACACACACACACAATTGTTTCTGTATATTTATTATATAGTGATTTATAACAGTATAGTTCCCTGAGTAAGACAGAGCTAGTCTTGAATCCAAGTTGTGCCACTTACTAGTTTACTAGGTAAATTCTTTACAACCCCAGCCTCAGATTCCTTATCTGTAAATGGGAACAACAGGAGTACTTGCCTTGTTAGGATTATTGTGAGGGCTAAATAAAATAATACATGTAAAGCATTTAGAAAATCGCTGCCACTCAACAAATTTT